AAGGGAAATTTGATCAAATGTACAACTCAACACACAAAGTAAATTTCGAATTGGTTGTGGTTGTTTGGCGTCTCTTTCTTGTTGTTTTGTGTGTCTTTGCCACCGCCCCGGAGCGCCAACGGCTGGAACAGGCCGCCGCCGCACGCCAACTCCGGCTGGAGTGGGACGGCGTCGCCATGGAAACCACGGACGCCATGGACAGCATCAACATGGACGCCGTCGCCATGGAAGAGTAGGAGGTGGTTCTGGCCTCAGGGAGACGTTTTGGGACAGAAAACAACAGCTGGATGTCTCCATGGCGAAAATAAATCAAATATAAATCAAATACAGCTGAACTTCAACAAAGGATGCCTAAAGAAGAATTACAAACATCCAAAGGCAAATTTGATCAAATGTACAACTCAACACACAAAGTAAATTTCCAATTGGTTGTGGTTGTTTGCCGTCTCTTTCTTGTTGTTTTGTGTCTCTCTGTGGTTGTTTTGTGTCTCTTTGTGCCCCGGAGCGCCAACGGCTGGAACAGGCCGCTGCCGGGACGCCACGGACGCCGTTGTCATGGATACCACGGACGCCATGGACGCCACGGACGCCATGGCCATGGATGCCTGGAAGCCGGCCAATCAGGAGAGAAGGCCGGAGGAGTAGGAGGTGGTTCCAGAAAGCTGGACTTCCCTCTGTCTCCATGGACAAAATAAATCAAATACAGCAGAACCTCTACTAACAACGCCTAAAGAAGCTAATTATCTAAAGTGAAATTTGATCAAATGTACAACTCAACAAACAAAGTAAATTTCCAATTGGTTGTGGTTGTTTGCCGTCTCTTTCTTGTTGTTTTGTGTCTCTTTGTGGTTGTTTTGTGTCTCTTTGTGGTTGTTTTGTATCCGTTTGTGTCTCTTTCTTGTTGTTTTGTGTCTCTTTGCCCCCCCCCCCCGGAGCGCCAACGGCTGGAACAGGCCGCCGCCGCACGCCAACTCCGGCTGGAGTGGGACGCTGTCGTCATGGAAACCACGGACGCCATGGACGGCGTCAACATGGACGCCGTCGCCATGGAAGAGTAGGAGGTGGTTCCAGCCTCAGGGAGACGTTTTGGGACAGAAAACAACAGCTGGACGTCTCCATGGAGAAAATAAATCAAATATAAATCAAATACAGCTGAACCTCAACAAAGGATGCCTAAAGAAGAATTACAAACATCCAAAGGGAAATTTGATCAAATGTACAACTCAACACACAAAGTAAATTTC